TCTGAGGACATCAGGAAAACATGAGATCCCAACTTTGAAATTATTTGCCCTTCAGAAAGTTAGATAACAACAAAACTTATTTTTTAGTTATAGGAAGAGAGTGTATTATTACTCTTTTACTCTAATTGTATTATTATTATATTACTAGTGGCCTGGTGCACTGAGTGACGCCTGCATGCTTTGGTAATAATGTCTGGCATGCCAAAGAAGTACATTTGAGAAGAAAATAAGAATGCAAATGAGAAAGAGAGAGAGAGAGAGAGAAAGAAAGGGTCAATGGTGTCCATGTCACTGAGAGACGTAATGAAGGGACGCTAGATGGACAAACTGAACAGATCAATCGGGCAGAGATCAGGACAGCCCAGACACGATCAACAGTTTCTATTGCGTCACAGAAATAGGCATCCTTTACAATCGCCTGCTCTCTATGAAAGAGGTCCAGAGGTGCTGAGATGCCCAGCCTGAATCCTGTTTGTGTGTGTGTGAGAGAGAGAGAAAGAGGTAAACTGGGAGCTGTTCAGATAAGAGTGGTGAAGCGAACACATTTACACACAGAGAACTGAAGAGAAGTGCTGAATCAGCAGCAGCACTGCAGAGACGCACAAACTAACTAGTCTTTCTCCACGTTCTCCTGCCTGCCGCTGTACTGGTGCTGCGGGTCACTCCTCTGGTTTACTGCTTATTTTATTATTGTAGATCACATTCATAAACTGCTTTGGATGAACACAGCTCTAAATGAATACATATACTTAAACTAGGGCTGCATAATTCGTAGAAAAACATTATGCTTATGATTGGCATAATTTATTGTGAAAAGCATTGACTGCAGCGTTCCATTTAGATCTGCTCGTCTGGTGTCAAAGGCTTTTATTCACAAGTGATTTTTCTCTAGATGCCCTCTTTACATGTGTATGTAACTCAAGGAGATGTGTGCATGACAAGAGTGATACTGTTGTCGAGTAAAACTGTCCAATGTTGTTCTGTCCCTATATACAGACAAACTACCAAAAGGCAAACCTACTAAAACTCCATAACCAATTAGAAATGCATGGCTGCAGTTTATTTTAATGATGTGCCTGCGCAAATGAACAAGAATGTTATCAGACTCTTTTCTTAATCTCAACATGCTGCCATTTTTTCCCAAATAGCAATTCATTATAGCATGCCTACAGATAAAATAATAGTTTTAGAACTAAATAAAGATAACATTTTCAGATAGCCATTCTCTCCTGCCTCAGGCTTAAATGCATATGGCTCTACGTCACCTGAAATGAAGTGTTTGTAGCAAAGGATGCAAAATGATCTTAGAATGCATTTTATGACCCCTTCAGAGAGAGTTTTGCTCAACGTGAGCTCAGTGACCGCCTGCAAAATGAGGTTCAGCTTTACTCAAAGCAGCAACCTTCATCATCATCCCACTGTAAACGCAGAGGAACCATCTGCCAACAGAATAAAGAACACAAAGACAAATATCATCCAACTCTTCAGGGTTAATGCTGATGTAACACTTTAACCCTACGTGTTCAGTTCAGAATAAATCATCCAGTAATGCTCTGATGTCTATGAGATCTTAATCACTTCACTGTCTGTACTCCTGTGAACATGGAGAAATTTCCACATCATTTCATTCAGTCACCCTGGATTGATTTTTAAGATTCTCCTTAAATGAAATGGAAGGAATTCACTTTCAACTCTAGGAGCAGTCGGCACGTGAAATTCCTCTTAAGTGAAAGAAACTCTCGGGAAACGAGATCAGAGCAGTTCAGAGCGATCCAGCGCTGTTATTTCAGCCCAATCTTCCTGAGCTTCCGTGGCACGATTACTTAAATCAAACCGTTTGAGTTCTCTGGCTACCATTATTAAAGACACTGTCCTTCACTATTTCATTCAAAGGTTCTGTTTCTCTCAAATCTTAAGCAGTAATTGCTCAACCATGACCATAAAAACAAAGAAGAACTAAAATATACATTTGTCTTAGTTATTCTCTTGTGGATTCTGTCATCATTTACTCAGCCTCACTTCATTCCAAACCTCTATGATTTTCTTTCTTCTTCTTCTATGACAGACTGATAGTACTGCTCGCTCTTCTAAACAATTACAGTAAAAAAATGCACACTGAAGCATTCATGCAAAAGCAACATAAAAGTACCATAACATATGACTCTGTAGTCACACAAACTGATAATCTCAACGTTGGCCAAAACTCCCAGTGTGCTCATGAGATTTCACATGGGAAGAAGACTCTAGAGCTCTAGGCTTCAGTTGACCCTGCAGGGAAAAGAGTGACATTTTCTTATTTCAATTCTGATGGCAAGGAAAGTCAAATCAGTGTAAAACAGCATGCGGGTGAGTAAACGATGACAGAATATTCCTTTCAGGGTGAACCGATTCTTTAACGTTTTCCTTTCATGTTTGTAGGCCCCGTGTAAATCTTCTCTAAGCACATTAGGCCTCTTAAGAAGAAAACAGCCTCAGTTTTTACCAAAATGCAAAACACACACCTCCGTCACTAGACCGTCTCATCAGATGTGTCTGAAGTCTCGTCACGTACCGCTAATCAGCGTCAGTGATGATCTGGATGATGTGAACGGAGGAGGATCTGCTCACTTTAGCATTCAGCTCGTTTTAGAGACACTTCTGATCGCTACGCTCTCGTTACCTCGTTTTAAGATCTCTTTACGAGGCGAGAGAGAGAAATGCCGGTTAGGGTGGTTAGAGGAGAGGGATTATAGTCAGATCAGCGGCGCTGCTAACAGGCGGCAGCGATCTCTGGGTGTCGGGGTCGAGCCGCTGTCACGGCAGGTGAGGAGGTCACATCTGGAGCATCACGGCTCCTTCAGCTGAGCTCTGGATCAGTGTTCAAAGACAAAAAGAGCTTTTTAAGCTGATCTCCCACTTTAAAGAGCTGACAGGAACTAAACTAACAGTTAAAGGTTCTGAGAAACATTCAAACACAGCCGTGCCGAATACAGCACACTCACATTAAGCAATATATAACATACAGCAAATCTCAACTGCTTGATTGTTTATACTGTAACATAATGTCAACCATCTCTAATCTGATAAATGCTACTCTAAGGAATGAAGACATTATAATCATTAAAATCAGATTTTCTGGAAAACTGCTTTCAGACAATGTGTGAAAAATGCTTCACCAGTAAATTTGACTTGACAAACACATAAAGGTCCTGCAGAGATCTGGCCAGTGAAGAACAGGATCTTAATTTGGCCAGAAGCATTTTATCCCAACATGAATGCATTCAGACTCCTGACAGACATCTGCCAGATGAAGCTTCAGCACATCTGAGGAAAAGACCTTAAACGTTCCCTCACAACCACACACAACTCTCCTGCTGTGAGGACAACAACTATTAGTTAAACACAAGGAAAATGCATTTAACACCAGCTTTTGGTTTGGAAAGAGAGCTACTGAGATCTGAAAGATTGTGAATCTTTTCTACTTCACTGCTGCCATTTGTACTTGCACAAGCGATAATCCAATTACATCACCGCATTATGTGTGCAAGCATTATTTCAAGTTTAATTTACTTGTTTTCACACACTCCATTCTAAATCAGCTTTACAGAAAACAGTGACTTATAAACCCCAGTGTTCAAGACAGAAGATTGAGCAGCGAAAGAAAAATCTCTGAGATGTTTAATGACAATGAAAAAAAAAGAATCAAATGCTGAATATATGGCAGCTTATTAGAAACACATAAACATAAGCTAGAAATATTTGTATTTGTGAGTAAAGCTGAAGTGTGCTGAAGGTCGGCGTTTCCTCAGATGTGTTTGGTGCTGCTAAATCTCAGAAAACTCGGGGTCACCCACACGCTTACAGAAGCAGATCAACCTGACACACACACACACACACACACACACACACACACACACACTGCAGCTCTGAACGCGGTCATCAATAACCTACTGATCAACCACACAGTCAATATATCATTTGTATACTAATAACTTGTCAGGGGAATCCACAAAGCAAGAGTATCATTGTGCAAACACACAATCAGTGTGTAACATTTTTTGACATGGTTTGGCTATATTTGCAAGAACATTTTCAGACATTTGAGCCCAGATGTAAGAGCCGAGAAAAATGAGAAACCCTTTGATTATAATAATGAGAAAGTGATCACAAAGGGGTTTCTGAATTGTACAGAGCAGATCAATTCAAGCCTGTACACACACACACACCAGCTATATGAAAGAAACGAAATCAAAGCGTCATCATCCACCTCTCAGTCTCTCTCTCTCTTTTTTTCTCTCTATGTGTGTGTGTGTGTGTGTGTGTCTCTGCGGGTTGTTCAGAGAGGTTGTCTATCGCACCCCAGCGGAGGAGCTGCGCGCTGAAATCATCCTCACTACACATGAACTCATGAACTCAATGTGAAATCAGACAGAACAGGCCAGTCCTTTGATTTCAGCCCATTTTAATGAACACAATACAGACAAGAGAGAACGAAGCCACACAAGAACGACTGTCAACGCCTACAATCACACACAACTTAGTTCCTTTGTGTCTATCGTGTGTGTGTGTGTCAGACGGAGCAGTCTAGAGATCGTGGATGGAAACACTGTGTTTAATGATGTCTCGACACTACGGCAGCTGCTGAAATAGCATGTCAAATGTGTGCGGAGACACATGAGTGATCGATGCTCTGATCATTAGAGTCTCTTCAGCGAACATTCATCAATCACAGTCACTTCCCTTCACGCGCATCCTCCGGTTCTCTGCTTTAACCAGCATCGTGTTTCCAGACCCCGAAACACACTGGAGACTTAGAGATCAAACCTGACATGATCCGAAACAAGAGATCCTCCTCCAACCCTCACACACACACGGGTGCGCGTTCCTATCGGAGATCACACTGACGCTCTTCAGCATCTCATGTGTAAAATTGGACATCGTCATGATGCTGATCAGGAAAATCCAAGAACACACACACACACACACAGAGAGAGAGAGAGAGAGATCAATTAGCTCTTTACCTTCGCAATGCTCTCCCTGCGTCTCCGTCTCTCCTTCTTCCCAAATCCCTGCGCTTTTCTCTGGAATCTGAGTCCGGAATAATGTCAGTATCCGTCAGAGAGCAACGCGTCTCGATCCTGCGCGTCTTCCGATGGGAGCTGAGCGCCGCGTCACCTGCGTCTTCACATCAGCAGCGCGCGCGAACCCTCCCACAGAGACACGCCCCGCACCGCGGGCGGAGCCGAGCTGCAGAGAGCGACGCGACGCACAGATCCTGGAGATCGACGCTCTTCTCCAGAAAGAAGCGCTAGAAACGCCCCTCACGGAACAGAGAGTTTAGATCCTCCGCCAGGTTCCGCCGTTTCAGCTGCTGCAAAATACAAGTCTCACGTTACTACACACTAACACGTCACTGAAGACAACGTCACAGTAATCATCACTATACAGCCACAGAACTAATGACTTACATGAAGAGCTGGAACGGTTCTGGTGTTAAGCAAACATCAACATTCCTGAACACACACTTAAATGTTATGAGCGTGATGTTTTAAGTAATCACGCTACCCGTTCACACAGTTATATTAAACCGAATTATGTCTAATAACGAATGTGAACAGCATTCACACAGAAGAACGCGTTTTCGCTTTAAAACACGCCAGACGCAGAGCAGTGGGATGGGAAAACGCGAAGTGTAAGAACGTTTTTTAAAAGTTCTTCTAGCGCATGCCTACGTCCCAATGTGTATACTGTCCATCCTAAATTCTATGTGATATTAGTAATTTTCAATACTACTTAGGGCAGATAGGGACGCAGGGCATGTTTACGTAAAACAGTTGAATTCCGCGCAGAGGAATGGCGTGAGTACGGTGCGCGGGAGGGGACGGGATCGGTTCCGTTAAACGACACGCTAATAACATAAAAACATGCTAATTTATGGCCACCTACTGGCGAAGAGCTATATAAATAAAGTAATAGAGTCAAAGATTTCTCAGGCATTTACAGTATTTACTAAACATAAATGGTATGTTATTTATTAAAATAGATAATACGGAAAGTTAAATGGGGGTAAATGCGTGCAATTCATGGAAATTAAATCAATAAATATGTACAACAACCAGCAAATTAATTTAGAAGACGGATGGGATTAATAAAAATGTTTTCTTGTAGGCATATGTATGCATATCTATGACTCAACTAATTAATATCAGTAGGTCAACAAGAGGAAAGACTAAAAATAACACAGGCAATACCATCTGGAAAGAACACAGTGAAACTTAGATAATATATTATCTAATATATTTAGACAACATAAAATATTTAAAATGAGACTAGCATACCGCTGCAGTCTCAATAGCCCAGGCAATTACTGCCATGCCATCCAGCCAGATAAAACTCGTAAGATCTCAGACATCTTGATATCCAGTATTCCTCCTTTTTGGTGACCTCTCCCAAATAAATGATCCCGGTCAATCCACATCACTCCCTTCCTGCTTCCTCTACTGTCTCTGAAATCACTGCTCCGTTTAATAGGAAAAATACTATCCTTTACACAATGGCTACAGTTATTAAAGATGCTGCTAAAGACAGTCAGTGATCACTGGTCAAGAAATGCTCTTCACAAAACCCATTCATTCATTTGGTTTTCTTTGTGGTTCTCTTCACGCTTTACATGTTACCCTTGGGAGATATTATCAGGAAACACGGTGTTAGCTTTCACTGTTATGCTGATGATACTCAGCTCTATATTTCTTCGCAGCTGAATTCAATGATGAACTGCCTTTAACTGAAAAAATAGTGTTTACCATTGTCCTTTTGCATTATTGACACATTATTTTCCTAATTAATGCTGTTCAGTTGCTTTGACACAATCTGTATTGTTAAAAGCGCTATATAAATAAAGGTGACTTGACTTGACTTGTGGTGGTTGATTGTGTTTTAAACACTACAAAACACCACAAAGAGAAATAAGCGTCAGACTTAATGTGACGAGTGAAAATGTGATAAGCAGATGAACTCTAATAATCACATCACCTGCATCTGAAATGAGACGTGTAACCCGGACTCCGAAACTCTTTGGAGAAAAGTGTGATGGTAGAAATAACACAAATCTGAGAATGCAAATGGAGTCGTTTTTGCTGATGTCTCTCGCTTTCCAGAAATTCTCAGATCACAGAGGAGATTTCAACAATGTCTGAAGCTGAACTGTCTGAAGTTTGCAATCAAAACATTTCTCATCAATTTCTCCCAAGAGCAAATGTTCTGAGCCGCTGGTCATAGTCCATTAGGAGAATGATTTATGACGATTCCTCAATAATGAAACATAACTGAGAACTTGGTGAAGTCTCATGAGCTGATCTGAGCAAACGTCCAGCGGGAGAGTCTAGCAGACCTGAGCTGATTCCCTGTGTTCCTTTAATTGATCCACAGTCACGCAATGTCATTTACTGTCAAACATCTTCATCTTCAATAAAGGCATGACATTTCATTTCCACTGCACATTAATATGAGAGAGTCTGTATTTCTGAGCTCACATTGACACCACTGCTGACCAAAACAGGGAGGGACTCACAGTGCTTACAGTAAGAACATTCAGTCATTGAAACTCGACTGCTCCCATAAAGCACCTGAGCTTTTCCCCGATGGTGTATATTATTATGTTTGTGTTTCTTGACGCCAGGCATCTAAATGTTTTTGAGCTTTCGTATTTGCTCACTTTTTTAATCCTTTGCAGTGAAACGAGTCGTGTAGAACTCCACCCAGAATGAATCGCCCATTCATAACAAGCCAGCAACGCTGCGATGTCCTTTTCACTTTTATTTCTCATGATATTTGCATCTCCATTATTATTCTGCTATTACAAACTAAAACCGTACACTTCCCTGGAGATGCTGGACACATTATCACACCATAAAATAAAACCACAAAACTCTTTTGTTGCATAATATTGGCATTGACATGTAAGCCTTAGAATCTAGCAAATTCATACATTATAAATATATTTTTTATATTTGTGGGGTTCATACATTTAAAAACGGCTGCTTTGACTTCACATTCCTTGGCATCTGGAAGTGAAAGTGGACTGTTGCAAATTCCTCTTCGTCTGTGGTGTAAGAGTATATAAGAGCATACAAACCTGGAAACCTCACTTTTAAAGGTATGACTTTCAGCACTTTATGATCAGGGATTTACTAATTCTGATCTTCCAGCTATTTAGGGCAGATAGTGTGCAAACAGGAAAGATGTATTTTGTTGTTCTTGAGTTGTTTTTTTCTGTCGCTGTATTTGATGTCAGTAACGTATAAAGTAAGGTTTTACAGGTCACAGACACAATTATTGTTATCACAGAATCCGACATTCATGACTAAATAAAGGTAAAGACACAAAACCACAGGAACATACAAAAACACATTCAATTCCTGATAACGTCAGTCTTTGTTTACAGAGCGTGACCTCAGCAGGGCAGGAGATAAAACTGAACAGCATCTCTACAGCACACACACACACACAGCCTACAGAAACAGATATTACAGATGTGATAGTGTTTCTACCATCTTGTTTTACACTCGCTAGTGTAGTGTGTGTTTCTCTAGAGTGTTTTTAAAAATGATTTCCAACATTGAATCTTTAGTATGTATTTTGTACTTTATTATCACTATTTTCTCACCCGTTTCGATCCATGGCAATAAAATGTCTCTTTCTGTGATGTCAAGAAAGCACATATGTGAAAGGGTCATTATACCCCAGCGACTTAAGACTGCTTTTGTGCTGCAGGCTCACAAATGAGAGACGTGTGTCTGTGTGTGTGTTCATAAGCTTCAACCCCTTTCTTTGCGTTGACATGCGCTTCATCTCGATGTCTTTTTTCTCTTTAATATGCTTTCCCAGGGTGAGATGTGCGTTAAAGTCACACAGGCATCTGCTGGAATAATGAATGGACCAATAAGCAAACGGAAACAATATCCCTTTAGAGAGCTCTTATTGAACCATTAAATGGAAACACTAATGCACCATGTATCTTCTGGAAAGGAATGAAATGTCTCTGCCGTCTCTCTCTCCCTGACACCTTCACTCCATCTGCACGTCTCTCTCTCGTTCTGTGCGTTTATTAATTCAAGAGGCCGTGCGGCTCGAGTTGGAGTTCTTTACAGTTCTCGATCTGCACTGAAACACGCCGTCGGATTTATCCCGGATGGGTTTTTGAGCACATCACTGCATACATCACTGGCCAAAGCAATTTAGTGAAACCTTATAAGTCCCGATGGCCATTATAGAGCGGCGAGGGCCCGGTGGTTCAGAGAGGAGCGGAGGGTGGTTTCTGCCAGAGGTAATTGCAGTAACATGGAGCGAATGTCACGACTGAGGCCACAGAGCAGCTCTGAGGAGGAACACGGGCTGCAGAAGCTTTGGTTTAATTATCCAACCTGAGAGGTCACGGGGTCACCGACAATGGACGACTCCCAGAATTCCTCACTCCATGTTCATGGGCACTTTCACGATTTTGAAAACGTAGCCAAGATATTACAAAGAGACAAAGAAATCTGAGATTAGGGGAATCGAGATGCTGGGATCAGCTCCAGCACGACCCAAGACCCAACAGAGGACAAGTTTGGAGAATGGATGAATGGAGATTAAAGGACACACACTGCTGATCAACACAACAGACTGTCAGTCACTCACCTGCCATCTGACATACACACTCATCAAATGTGCTATGATTTTAGATTGTAAACAACAGTCTGAACTCAAACCTGTGGTAGTTTCTATTGTATACTAAAACTACTGACTGAAAAATTGTGGTTGAAAAACCAACAGCAATAAAATACAGCAGATGACACAAGTTCATTTGATAAGTGCTCTTATGCAACATCCATTTTAATACTGAACACTGAAAAAGTACATTTCAAAATAGTATTAATATAAAAACTGTAGAGCATGCAAGTCATTGAAGTCGTAATGTAATGATCAAGATCGCTCAAGTTCCACTTTTAGATTTTGAGACTTTGAGATTTGAGAAAGATTTGAGAAAGTGCAATTTCTTCTTCTTTTTTGCTTTGTTTTAATATGCCTGGCTTTGTGGTTGATTATCTCTGGCGGGGAAGCAGACAGAAGCCTGAAAATTTCCTCCAAGACAACATTCTGCTGTAAAAATCACAGTTTGAGAATGCACTGGTTACAGAGCTAGAGCTAGCCTACTTTCTTCA